TGTGTGTGCGTTGAACCGTGAAGATCACTTGGTCCTCGGTTTAATTCCCATTGCTGCTCTCCTTGTATTTCATCTAGAGGGCTGAAATGCAAGTTACTATAGCGCACCGTCTTTCGGATGATACGTTTAACCATTGGTGCCGCGTGCATAATGGCCCATGTGCATGTTAAATGATTGTATGATGAATGTATACCCAAGAAACAAGTCACCAAGAGGAAAAATGCACCCAAATCTCCATGGATTACATTTGCCTTGATAAAATGTATTCATAGAAAAAATATGCTTTATAAAAAATCTATTAAGAAACCTACATACAAAAATATCTCCATTTACAAAAAGTATCGTAATACGCTAAATACTTCCATAAGATTGTCCAAACAAAATTATTTTTCTATATTATTAGCAAAAGAACGATATAACATGAAGAATACTTGGAAAATCTTCAATGTCATCTTAAGATGTAGTAAGAGGGTAACACCACAACAATTTATTTGTAATAACGAATCAATTACTGATCACGATGAAATAGCCAATGGATTTAATAGGTTTTTTTCTAATATTGGACCATCGATGGCTGAAAAAATAAAACACACTGGCAACAACTTTAATTATTACCTCAATAATAACTATAATGCGACTTGTTTCTTGAGACCAACTAATGAAGAGGAGATAAATGAAATAATATTTAAACTCTCTAGCAACAAAAGTCCAAGTCATGATAATATACGTCCAGGTTTAATTAAAAAAGTAGCTAAAGAAATTTTGTCTCCATTGAGTTTTATATTTAATCTTTCTACGAGTAGTGGAAAAGTACCAGATGCTTTAAAAATTGCCAAAGTTGTACCAATTTATAAAAAAGATAATCCAGAGTTATTTAGCAACTACAGACCGGTGTCTGTGCTTCCATGTTTTTCCAAGATTTTAGAACGTTTGATGCATAACAGATGTTACAGTTTTTTGAGTAATTTCAATATTTTATATAGCAATCAATATGTATTCAGAAAGAATCATGCTACACATATGGCTATACATATTGGATTTGGTATTTAATGTAACTAAAGCAATAAACAATGACATGCATACTTCTGGGCATTTTTATGGATTTATCGAAGGCTTTCGATACGATCGATCACCGCATTCTGTTAGATAAACTATATAATTATGGATTCCGTGGTGTATCATATAATTGGTTCCAAAATTATTTATCAAATAGAAAGCAGTATGTGTCCTACAATCATGTAAGTTCAGTATATGAGAGTGTTAAGTGTGGAGTTCCACAAGGTTCAATACTAGGACCCTTTGTTCATTTTGTATATGAATGATATATGTAATACTTCTAAACCACTCTCATTTATATTATTTGCAGATGACACAACTGTCTTCAATTCGGATTGTAATATCGATAACATGTTAAATGTAATGAATAATGAGCTTTCCGAAATCTCTAATTGGTTTAAATGTAACAAATTGTTGCTCAATACAGATACAGTAAAACAAATCTTATGTTTCTGGGAACACCGCACCAAACCAAAAATATAAACTCAACTTGTTGTATTTATTTGGATGGTTGTAAATTAACCCGAGTACCAGAGGCACCATTTCTTGGTGTACTGTAGTTTTAGATCAAAATCTTACTTGGAAACGGCATATCAATAACATTCAGAAGAAGTGTTCTAAAAATATTGGTGTGTCAAATAAAGTGAAGCATTTCCTACCAGAGAAATCTTTATTACTATTACTGTACTATTCCCTTATTTTGTCACACATTAACTATGGGATTATGCTATGGGGTAAAGCAAACAAAGGTTATGTGAATAAAATATTAAAATTGCAAAAGAAAGCTTTTTAATTACCAATAGTCCATATTTATGTCATACGAAGCCTTTATTTGAAAAACTAAATCTATTGAATGTTTTTGATCTATACAAGAAAGAACTAGGTATATTTATGTTTAAATACAACAATGGAATGTTACCCACATCCTTTAACAATATCTTCACTGATCATAAAAGTATTCATGGGTACAATACTAGGAATAAAAATAACTATCGACTAGATATTCATAAGATTGAATCTGTATTTTCTACTGGACCTAAATTTTGGAATAATTTGCCAGAAAGAGTTAAAAACTTACAGTGTCAATCATTTTAAAACACAGATTTCTAAGCACATCCAATCTCTTAATGCAAATTAACTTCATGGAAATACTGTGACTTAAATAACGATTACTTGTTCATTTTGGTAACATGTATTTCATATGGGTAGGTGGGTCTCTGTATCTGCCGTAATGTAATTTGTTCCGATTTTTGTGTATTTTTAATGTTTTTTAATATTCTATATTATGATTGTCTTTTTGTTAAGTTGATACAACACATTCATTATCAGGCCTTGCCTTTGTTGTATTTCCTCCATCTTTGTTTGTTATTTTATTGACGATGGAAAATAAAGATTGATTGATTGATTGATTGATTGATTGAAAGTACGCAGTACACTCTTCAGAAAAGTGAGGGGATGGTCTCACGGTGTACTGCCCAGTCAAAGGACCCCACTGGAAATAAGTCTTCTTTAGACTTTCATGGGTTATGTGAGACTTCTTTTATTCATTGTTTCGCGTACGGTACTTATTTTTTAAAGATTATCCGAGGAGGGTAAATTAAAAATAGAATTTTGTTTTCTTATTTAGCAAATAGTTTTTCCAAAATCATCCAGATGTAGGAGAAAATAAAAATAGAATTTTATTGATGAATGTAAAATAGGATGGTTAAATGCTTCAAATTTATATAATTAGGATTTCCAAAGAAATATACATATCGTATCTTTGCAGATTTCAAGGCAGCGGAGAACGTAATAAAAATACAGAAAACCTTTTATTTTTTTATGAGATTTCCCCATTTTCGTGACGGTGGGTGAGCTAATTGGCCAAATATTTTTTTTTTTTTTTCGAAATCCTCAATATCTGCAGTTGGCGGGTTATACAAGGTATAAAAAAAGTCTCGCCTTATCCTAGGTGTTTACCGAATAAATCCAACCCTTTTAAAAGAGCATTCAAATTTCCATTTTCCAGGTTTAAAAAAAAATTGTTTTCAGTATCAGTAATTGTACTCTGTCAAATCTGACAAACATACAGTTTATAAATACTTGAATCATTAACAGGATTGTTACTTTGAGGTCATAATTCATTTTTGTTGTTGCTGACTAGCATTTTCATCTTCAATATTCTGAATGTTTACGAAAATATTTTTTTTTTATGATTGTTTTTAATGTTTACGTACTAACTGTACTGTAAGTTTTTACCTTTGACATAGTAAATATTTTAGTCACTGGTAAACAATGATTTTGTGTGTGTGTGTGATGGTTTACAATCTAAATATTTTAGTCAATTTATTATGCTCAATTTTTTTCTTAGGATTATTAACATCAATGTTGTGGAGCCATTTTTTGTTTGGTTTTTAGCTTTACAGAAGAGTGGTTATCTTGAGTGTAACATTGTGACATTAGTATTTAAATTGCAGCTTACAGTATGTTTTATAACAAAAATGAAAGATGGTAATTTAATATAATAAATTAATGAATCTTTGACACATGTCAGAACAATATTGCAAACATTTTGGCAAAATCAAGCATACAAAAGCATTAAATCAAATACTGTACAATAGTTATTACTAATTACTGTAATATGAAAAAAAAACCTGTTTTTAAAAGAAGGTCTATTATACAAGTCAAAATACTGTATTATACAGTAGTTACAGTAATTCTTTTAAATTTGTAAATACTGTAAAATCAAGTACTGAATGCACTTTGTGTTACAGTTTAGTAAATAGTGCTTTGGAGTGGATTCGTGCCTGTATCTTAGTGGTTAAGATGCTTGCCTTCTAATCCCATGGTCCTGGGTTCAACAGTGCTCAAATAATTTCATTTGCCTTTAAATTTTTGTGAAAATATTTTTTTTTTATACTGTGGAAAATAATGATCAGTGTTGATTGATAATAACTAATGAGCTAGTTTGAAGAATAGATAACAGTACTGTACAGTATATTAAGAGTTCTCAGCAGTATTTTGTATAACATGATAACTGGTGGTTTGCAATGATACATAGGGATTTTTGTTTAAACATATTTAATAAGAAAAAGACTATGGAGGATGTTTTATTATGGTTGCTGGTACAATATTTATTATTTATGATAATTACTATGTAGGCATACAGTAGGTACAGTAGCAGTCTGTTTATTCTGTGCATTATCTTTTCTTTACATTGTGCCATGTCATGTTAAATTGATATAGGTTTCAGACCTTGGCAATGAATCAGCATTTTTGGTTGTCCTAATTTAAGATCTGGTTTTTCTGTTAGTTTTAAAAAGTTTCCTTTTTTTTTTTTTAATACTGAACTTGTTTTGTCAAATTCTTCTTAATACAACACCAGAAATAGTAATACAAAATTGTTTCTGTTAACTTTTTACTAGGCCATCTTGTCAACTTGTTTTTGGGGTCAGTAGGTAACTTTTCTGTTCTTTTCTTCTCTTTAGCACTCTTGTCTGCCCATTATTGGTAAACAATTCTTTCATCTTTCCTTTGGAATGTTTTACCGTATGGACACAAAAATATTTGTTTTTTGTCTTTTATGCTGAAACTACCACGTTTATTCAGCCATTAAATAATTTTACATTTTAAGTACTGTACCTTATGTATTGCTATTGTATGTGCAGTCAGCTTGGGTGTGGTATTATGACAAGCTGTGACATAATATACAGTAGGCTATAGTATTATACCAGCCATTCACAGGATTCACAGCCCAAAATGTTATGCTTTAATTTGGCATTGAACACTGCAATTGTGGGAAAACAAAAACAATTACAGTACAAATAATTCCACACCCCTGTTGTTATTATAATTTTTTGATGACGGACAAAATTTGATCCAATGGATTATGACTTGTGCATTTATTGGACAAATTTCTAAGTACTCAATACTGAAGGTCAGATTGTGTATTGTCATCCGTTCAGTTGATAGAGCATAACATCCTGGAGTTATTTATTTTCAGATTTAATGCTGTGCAGTTACTTGATCACTCATGAACTCAGCCATTTTATTTATTCAATTTAGATTGTGACATATTCTAGCAGAGATGTTGAGGTTATTACCAAAGGCTGGAAGAAGTCCAGGTGAGTTTAATAATAATGATAAATAAATGATTTTATTTGCTTTAAAGTAGGCCCAAAACATTCACCTTATTTTACACTTGTCCCCTTTATTTATTTATTTGATTAACACTTTCATAGTACTAGTTTCAAAATTGGGTTACGGATCAATAAAAGGAATTTTTTTGGATTTACATAAGTGCGAATACATGTTGATATACAGTAGCAAGACCTAAGTTATTATGTAGTGTATATTTCCCCTTCCCAGTACACTGTAGATTGGCTACTGTATTATTACTATATTAATCAATAAACAGATACTGTACATACCCGTAATGATTTTTGTTTATTATTTTAATTAACATTGTCATATCCTTCATTGAACAAGTCCTAATTAAGATGACAGTTCACAATATTTGCTAATTTATATTACTCTCTGTAAATTGAGCTAAAAACATGAAAAATATAGAGGTAAATTAGTATAGTAATAAAATTTCTTTCCATCCAAGTTATTTGCTTTCAATTTAAAATTCACCCTTATACTGTAAACTTAGCAGCATATCTGGCTTTTACAAGAAACTTAAAATCAGTTCATATGGTGTGATTGACTGTAGTTTGACTTTTTTTTTATGTTTAATAGATTTTTGCTTAGCAATATTTATTTAAGTAAAATAAACATCAGAAATATAGCTATGTATCTTTTTTTTACATAATATATTTCTAGGTGCACGGTAAGAATGGCCCAGTAAAAATGGCCCGGAAAAAATATCCCCGGTAAAAATGGCCCCAGTAAAAATGGCCCCAAATGACAGGTGGGTAAAAATGGCCCCAATAATAAAACCATGTATTAAAACTGATATTTTATTAATCATTATATACATTTTTTTAACTGAAATAATTTAGTTTTTAAAAGGAATCTAACATCAAATAAATTGCCATTTACATTTTATTTTTTTGCAGGAATTATATATTAAATGATAAAATATTCAAAGATCAAAAAAAGCCATTAAATAACACTTTTTATTTTTTTCCACTTAAATGTTATAAAATAGCAAAAACATAATCAATAAATCAACATAAATCATGCATCTATTAATACTAAAATAATTTATTTGTGGCCAATTTCAAGGAAGCGGAATCACAATTTTCCAGATATTCAATCCGGGTATTTTTAAACCCCACAAACAATGGGTTGATATGAATATCAAATTATTAGGCCTATTTATTTTTTTAAGAAAAAGAACATTCTACTGTACAATCATAAATAAAGGGTTTGGATAGGGTTCCCAGTGTTTGGAGGTTTGTGGTGTATTTGCAAGTATTTAAAAAAAAATATACATTTTAACCAAAAAATAGGTTCTTATGAATATTTAATTTTCTTATTGATAGGCCTATACCAAGTGAGTCAATCACAATTGAATTGTTTGGTTTTCTACAGTGTGTTTTGGGAGGTTTGTGAGATTTAGCAATACCAATAATATTGAATATCTACAGTAATAATAATAATTTAAAAAAATACTTAGACTTAACAGCCGCCCATACAAAAAAGATCACTAATTAATCAATCAGCAGGGTACTCCTAGAGCTACTCATATCCTAGGAGCTAAAAACTACAGTAAGCTGTTTTAGTTCTTAAATATGCATACGGTTTATGTTGATTTATTAATTCAATTTTTGCTACAGGGTATTTTACAGCATTTAAATATATATATATTTTTTTTAATTTTATAATTGAGGGCATTTTTTATTTATTGATTTAATTCTTGCTTATTACAGTATTTAAATATTATAAATATTTAATATAAGATTTTAAAAAAAATATCATTTCTACAGTATTACTGAATTTTTTCATTGGGGCCATTTTTACCTACTTGTCATTTGGGGCCATTTTTCCTGGGCCATTTTTACCGGGGCCATTTTTACCTACAACCATATTTCTATACTGAAATCAAATTATCATTATTACTGTATTCATTTTGTTATTGATGTTACACTATGTTATTCTTGTCAGCAGAAAAAACACATCACAGCAATTAAGTTTGCTTTTGTTTATCTTGTCACCGACAAGGGTTTTACTTTTGTTTATTTTGTGTTTGTAATTCAGTTTAGGTGAGTTTAATCCAGTTGAGTTCATTCAGATTTAAAAAAAATATTAAAAAACTTAAAAGACAAATGAATCACACAGTATTGAAAGGGAGACAAATGACAATATCTGAATTAACTACTGTACAGTATTAGGAATAATAGTCTAAAAATGAACTTATTTTCATTGGGGTCCTCAATACATAGACTTGACAAATTTTGCACAAAAACTACAATTTCATAGATCACAAAATTGCATCAATAAAAACATTCAAAGGTTACATATTGTTTGACTAATAGTACTAATAAAATTTGATGAAAAATGTACTTTCAATTGGAAATAAAAACAAGAAATGCAGTTAACAGACTCATAATAATACTTTCCTATATTCCTTTCTGCATGCAGTTCTAATTGGTGATCAATTTGAAATTTTGTTGAGCACATGGTTCAAATTTCATTAAAATGCTCTACTGTATCAGTATCAGCATAATATAATTGCTATGGTCTATACTGTAGCTTTACTACAGCAATTTATTATTCTTTTACAACAACAAGCTTCGTATATTTATATATATTGTTTCAAATTCTTAATAAATAAATAAATAAATTGTTTTAAGAATAGGCTTCTAAAAATACTGTATGTGTATTGGTTGCTACATTAGGCCTGGATTAGTCAATGCAACAGCAAAAAGCTTGCTGTCGAGCTTTGGATTCACCAGCTGTGAAAGGCCATTTCTCCTGTACAGCAATTGTTGTCCATGCTGTGGAGAAAATCGAAACCTGGAAAATTTGTAAATCATTGAAAGCGAAATGTTTGAACATGTCTCATTGCAATGCCAAAACTTGATCGCTTTTGTCTTCTTAAATCACAACATTACAGTATGTTGACCTCTGAATTTGTACGATTTGTTTAATGTTTACACACATTTCAATGAATTTTCACTATGAAAAAAAATTACTTTAAAAGCATGTTGAGAAATATTCAGTTGGAATAAACAAATGGTCAGAACCAAGAGGCCGTCTGGTCAGGGGAGTAAAACCCAAAGATTATTTATGATAAGAAAATCGTGCATTTATAGACAGTTATTGGAAACTGAAATCACAATGACTTTGGTTAGATCAGCAACTTAGTATTTTTATTCGACTACACTACCTCAAGTGTCGTGGGTGGGTCCGTGCTTGTTTGCCAGAGAGTTGATTTCCCCCTGATCCCCTCCTAATGCCCCTAACGGAAACATTAACAGGCTAATCTCACGCTGATATACAATGTATGATTTTCTTGTCAAATTGTTTTGTTTCAATGTTTATATTTTAGGCCAAATGACGGTCAACTCTATAGCAAGGTTCAGGGCAGCTTACGGGCTCAAACAGCAACTTCGCCAGTCAGCTCGATGTCTTCAAACAAGACAGCCTAGTCAAGAGAAACCAGAACTCATCATTTTTGACAAAGATGGAACACTCATATGTTTTCACTCTCTTTGGGCACCATGGGTTGAAGATACGACAAAGAGGTACAATTTTATATCACTAGATGAATTGTTTTTTAGCTCAAGCATTTTCTATACAGTACCTGCATTGACCAAAAGTCTACAGGCACTGGCAGCAGCAGCAACTTTTATTTTTTTTCCCCAAACAAAACAAAACCAGAATAAGATGAGAACAATTTTTTTAAACGTTTTAACGTAAATTTTCATTCCCAATTTCTGCTACTTAGTATTGCTAATTTTGTAATGATAATATAATAATAATGAATAAATGTATTAGCCAATTTGGCACCAAATTAAAGGAAGTTGGTAGTCAGATCAAATGTGAATTAAAATGCATTGTATCAACAAATATAAGCCACGAAATAATTCCTATCTAAACTTTTAAAATGATAAGCAACCTATAATAATTATTACTTATCATTATTTATACTATTGTTGTTGCTGTCGCTGCTTCTACTGCTTTTGTTTCTGCAGATGCTGTTGCTAATTTGTTATTGTTAGTATCATCATCCTCATCATATTTGTTTTATTCTTAGAATTATGATGATGAATATTATTATTATGATGATGATGATTAATTTATTATTATTATTATTATTATTTTTATTATGCAGCTTAATTGTACACACTAATAAACAGTGCACATAATTTGATGCACATAATTTGATAATGTAATGGGGGCTATGCATTCACTTGTGTTCTTGGGGCAGGGTACTTTTGTGTGCCTTAACTACTTCACCCAGGAAAATATTAAATTCATTCATTTTGCTTTTCTATACATTTTTACTAACTCTTCAGACCTATTTCATTTACAGGTAACCTTGACATTTTTTGTGATCATTTCACTCACGACACAAATGCTGCACAGACGCTAATCACTGTGGATATGGAATACCGGATTTTCCCCATTTTGATTCGGTAGCTCTTCTTTTTTATTACTACTTTAACTACAGGTTGTGTGTGTTTACAAGTTGCAGAAATTCAACAACCTTCAGGATGAAGACTGTACTCAATGGCAAAAGGAGATGCGTATTTGGTATAAGGTATCTACCGTGTTATAATGTACTGGACCCTATTATATTTGGAAGCTTGCATTTGTATGATTGAGGTTTACAGAAGAAAAGCATGTTGAAATATATATACAAATTCTTAAAACCACCATCACTTATTAACCTACTAATAGCTTATCAGGTTTTGAGATTTGTGGACCATATATGCAGGTTCAGGGGCACACAAACATGATTTTTTTTTTTTTTTTTTTGGAATTTATCATTTTTATTTTACTTCACCTGAATGCAGGGCTGGATAAAGTGCACAACCAGTCAACTTATGGTTGTAGGCATTGTGCATGTCCCTGTAGATATTTTTTCGCTTTTTTGCTCGTTCCAGACCCCCAATGCTGGGATATATATAGTGCACTGTTAACATATAGCACTGGAGGCATTTTATTGAGATGTTTTTTATGGTCAGTGGCACAATTGTTTTGCCAGGCCTGCCTGAAGGTGCCCCTGAATCTGTGTTATTTTAGCACATTGTCCATCTTGGCAATGTCTATGACTTCATCATTGGCAATTGAAGTGGCGGTTTTGCGCAGCGGGAACGATTTGGTTTCCCACCCTTGAGGTCAGTGTTTCAATCCCACGCTGTGCATTTCGCTTGTGTCCTTGCGCAAGGCACTTTATCTGCATTGCTTCTCTCCATTTAGGAGTATAAATGGGTGACTGATGGGGTTGCCTGCTCCTGCACTGATTACCAGCAGCAATATTTAAAGCATGTCGACCCAATAACCATTGAAAAGAATTGCGCTTTATAACCTCAAGGAAGAGGTGCATTATAAATGCCCATACTGGCTATGATTGGTTTAATTTAAATATATTTTTGATGACTTTATGAAGGATCCAACAGGTTTGTATTATCAATGAAATATCATTCAGGGGTGCTGTAAAACACAATGGACAAAAACAAACAAAACTCTGAAAGGAACATGGAATTTATTAGATTTGCTGATAAGCCTACTCTCTAAAAAGAAGTTTTTTTTAATACTGGTATATTTTTAGCCTATTTGAGGTCACTGCACCTGAGGCAATTTTCCTATTGTCTTTTTACTTTGTATACTGCTACAATATCTTGATATTTCAGACATTTTTTTTAAAAGAAGTACAGTATGCTCTAGTTTCTTGTTTTGTCTGGTAATATTGCTGCCCAGATTGTTTTCACTGCAGTGCCATTTTTTCTCAACAGTGTTTGAGACTAGATTTTGGTTACCTGCAAGAGATTTCTGTCCTGAAAACATGTGTTCGTTATACAGTTAAACTTGCCTAACTCGAATGATTTCTAAGTTGGTCTTATTTTACATGCCAAATTTTTGGGTTTTCCATTAATTAACAATCTGTAAGTCAGATTTTATCTAAGTTTTTCAATGCCATTTTGGATTTTAATTTAGACAAGTTCAACTGTATTATTCAATACATCCATATTGTTAATGTCTCCCATCAGAAAATAAGTCTTGTTGCACTCTTGTATTGTGCTGTTTTTTCAAAGCAAGTCTTTGTTTGGTCGATAGTCTTTTTATATACCCAAATGATGTCATTAAATTATGGGGAGTGTATTTAAACTTGCCAAAGTTGAAAATAAAATAAAAGATAAATCTCTTGACATAGATACCAACCACACTGTCCTAATGGATCAGAAGTAAGTCCTGTTTATACTTGCAACGATAACGATAAAAAGCTAAAAAGCAATTGCTCATATAGAAAATAAAAGAAATAAGAGAGTTTTTTACACTAAGCCGATTCAATAACGATTTATCATGTATACGATAAACAACATATTTTGACAAATGAATTCAGATTACGTCATAATCATGAAAAACGATAAAATCATAGTAGTAACAACAGTAAAATCGTTTTTCCATGATTATGACATCATTTGAATGGATTTGTCAAAATATTTTGTTATTGTATATACGATAAATCCTCATCGAATCGTCATAGTGTAAACATTTCTCTTATTTCTTTTATTTTCTATATGAACAATTGCTTTTGTGGATTTTTATCGTTATTCGTTGCAAATATAAATATAGAGTATCAATTTGTTAAATTTGGAAACCTTTGTATTTGGTTATCACTGAGATATATTTATAGTGTGGATGTTACAAGTTATTTAAATTTTACGAGTTACTCTTGTAATACATACCTTCAAAATATTTATTATTAAAGTTTATTATTGATTGACTGAAGTCAATACTTTATATAACATATTGAACTACAGTGCTAGTTTTAATGTTCCAACATATTTGGCCATTATTTCTATTAAACATGATGTGCAACATGACTTATTTTTTGTTGTTGGTGGATCACATTACATCAGGATTTTACAGTATTCATAGATAGAAGTCCTGTTTGGCACAAATCCAGAGCTCCCCATTTTTGTTGGTTGTGTTATGTAGTGTGATTACCTCTGACCTTTAGAATCTACTCTGATGGAGAATTCCAAGCTCAGATTATGCAGTCTCAAGTAATGCTACCATCTGTGGAGGAACATGTTTGATTTACTGTCATTGACTATGGCATTGAATAATCATCTGGCAAAAATTTGTTTAGAATTTCAGATCAAATTACCTCCCATTTGTTTCAGATCGAATTCTCTGGAAGCAGGAAAACAGACTATTCAGTTCATTTTACTGAACTGTTAAATTGCCATAGTTTTATAGTTTTGTTTTTTTTTTTATGTCCAAGGCATTTCTCTTTTCTGCCTCTTGCAGATTCCGTACTGAGCAACATACTGTTTGAGTCCCAAGTGTATTAATATGCACCTCTTTTCTTGTAGGTTTGAAAGGAAAACTGGCCTTAATCTTGAAGCAAAAATCCACCATTTATTTAAATACAATCAGGCAGAGAGGAAGATTCTGCCGGGTCTTCTGGCAGAAGAAACAATGCCAATTATTAAAAGACAATTAGAAAAGTTGCTCCAAGGAGAAGGTCTTGATTTTGATCGAAGTCAGGAGATTGTGGATGAATGCTATCATGAACTTGAAACAATTGACACAAATGTTTTGATCACACATGGGAATGTAAACAAATTAATGACAAAGCTGAAGGAACATGGTATTAAGATTGCTGTCTGTACAGCAGATTCAAGGAAAGGAACCATAAACACCCTCAAAGAGATGGAAGTGGATCATCTGGTTGACATGGTTGTTTGTTCCGATGATCCTGGGATGATTCCGAAACCAAATGCACATAACGCTTTTGCAATCTGTGAGAAGTTAGATGTGGAGTTGGACAGAACGGTAATGGTTGGAGATACAATGACAGATATGAAGTTTGGGATCAATGCCGGCCTAGGAAATGTTGTCGGTAAAGCCACATTTGTCATGGAATTAGTATATTTTATAGTGTATGGTTTATTTACAGTACCTAATGAATGCATTATTCTGTTTTAAACCAAAGATTATCAGATTACCAATTCTATTCTACCAATTTCCACTGTCATAGTGCCTTTGGATATTGGTGACATACAAATCCTTGTTGATTGATTGAATTTTTGAGGATCAATGAGAATTAACAACTAATGTTAAATTAACAGTACAAGTCAGGTACTGTAATTAACATAATTATGTTCTTTACTACTCTAGGTGTTCTCAGTGGAGTTTCAACGGAAGGAGATCTATGTGAAAGTGCAGATCATGTAATCGATGACATCCAAGGCCTTACAAGTCTCTTCCTTAAGAGTTCTCCTGGAACACAGCATACAAATCTCCCACGGAAGCCGCATCACGGCCCATTCAATACCCCAGCTCGCTCATTTTCTACAAGTTCTCCAGCCCATTCCGAGCAGTTCTCGCATGTGATTGTTGGAGCAGGGTCGGCAGGCTGTCTTCTTGCCAACCGCCTGACAGAAGATAGTACTAATAATGTCATGTTATTGGAAGCTGGCCCTAAAGACTACACATGGAAGATACATATGCCTGCAGCTTTGGTCTACCCCCTATGTAATGATAAGTATAACTGGTTTTATAATACTATTCCTCAAAAATACATGAACAATAGAGAAATGTACTGCCCTCGAGGCAGAGTCTGGGGAGGATCTTCATCTCTTAATGCAATGTGTTATGTCAGAGGTCATGCACTGGATTATGATCGATGGCAGAAGGAAGGAGCCGAAGGCTGGTCTTATGCAGACTGTTTGCCTTATTTTAAGAAAGCCCAAAGTCATGAGCTCGGTGAGGATAAGTATCGCGGTGGAAGTGGACCACTTCATGTATCACGGGGAAAAACAAAAAATCCACTTTTTGCTGCATTTCTCGAAGCAGGACATCAAGCAGGGTATCCACTTACGAACGATTACAATGGATACCAACAAGAAGGATTTGATTACATGGACTTGACCATCCACAAAGGTATACGATGGAGTACAGCAAATGCTTATTTAAGGCCTGCACTCAAGAGAAATAACTTAAAGGTAACGAGTAAAACACTTACCACCAGGGTATTATTTGAGGGATCTAAGGCTGTAGGGGTTGAATATAAACAGGGTGGGCAGTTGAAGACAGTAAGAGCTGATAAAGTTATTCTGAGTGCTGGGTCAATTAACACCCCACAGTTGTTGATGCTGTCAGGTGTAGGAAATGCAGATGATTTGAAAAAACATGGCATTCCATTAGTCAATCATCTACCAGGTGTTGGACAGAACTTGCAGGATCATTTAGAAGTGTATGTCCAAGTGGCTTGCTTAAAGCCAGTTACCTTGTACAAGGCACAGTGGAAATTCCCACACAACATGGTCAAAATTGGTCTAGAGTGGTTCATGTTTCAAACTGGTTTAGGAGCAACTAGCCATCTTGAAGCAGTTGCATTTATCCGAAGTCGTGCTGGGATAGAACATCCAGATATCCAATTCCACTTCCTGCCATCGACAGTCAGGGATCATGGAAGGATAAATGGCGACCGCCATGCATATCAGGTCCATGTAGGACCACAAAGATCCCAAAGTCGTGGATCGATTAAACTACGAACAAAAAATCCAGAAGACCATCCATTAATAGATCCAAATTATTTATCAACGGAAGTTGATCGATGGGAGATGAGGGAGTGTATTAAACTCGCGCGAGAAATCTTTGAACAGGATGCATTTGCCCCCTATCGTGGTGAGGAGATTCTACCGGGCGTAGATGTACAATCTGATGCCCAACTGGATGAGTTTGCAAGAGAACATGGGGAGACTGCCTACCACCCATCATGTTCTGCCAAGATGGGAAGTGAAAATGATCCAATGGCAGTGGTTAATAATAGAACTGAAGTATTTGGTATGGAGAATCTGCATGTTGTCGATGCCTCCATAATGCCAAGTGTTACCACCGGCAACCTGAATGCTCCTGTAATTATGCTTGCTGAAAAAGCTGCTGATATTATACGTGGCCGTGAGCCACTTGCCCCAGTCCATGTGCCTGTCTACCAACCACCAAGCCTAGACACGCAGCGATGATTTTCCAGCTTTTAATCTATTTATATTTGGTAACACCTTCGCAGTTTTTTCATAATTTGTTGCTGCAATAATTATGAACAACTTTGCATTATGGGATGCAATGATGTATATGCTATTGTTAAATGAATAATAAAATTATTTAAAAAATCATTGCAATAAAATTAAATTAAGATGTGTTGCGTGAACAATGCAAATTGTTGTAAAAAACAAAAATTAACATGTGTATTATCTGTTATAATAATTGCCACAATAAATGTTTTAATTCATTAGGTACAGCGTCACTTTTAAGCTGCTGACATCAAAACAAGGACATGTGTAAGCAATCATCGTTAGGCTTGCTGGTGGCACTTTATTTTAGAATTTTCCAAACGAATCGAGAGTAATCAGCAAATGAAATTATGCATGGAATCCATGCTACTGTAAATTACCAACTGTATCTGAAATGTACTTCTGTTGTTTGTGTGAGTGGATTAGTTTAGATACATTGTATTAGGAAAACCACTGTAACTTGTTGAAAGATATTGGAATGATTTCTACATATGGGTGTAATTTAATTCCTGTATTAATTTCTCATCCACCAGAAAGTAAAGACAACAAAAATGTACTGACCTCTGATTTTTTGGGAGAAATTATAAATAGGATAAATTATAATAGACCTTATACTGTATAGATAAGAAATATTGTTTTAAACTGATCAATTGATTTGGTCTGTGTATGCTGTACTATGTTAGTATGTGATCCAATTTGGAGTATTAAAATTACTTAATTCATAGTAATTTGTGTCTGGCTTTTATGTGTGATTTACAGTGTATCGAAAAAAAAATGTGTCTCATTATTAAGTGAAATCATCGTTTATAATGTAATTACTAATGTCAATTCACATGTAGATCCATAATACAATTTGAATTGAACAATGGTCATATATTTATATCTCCTTCCACAGAAAAAAAAAAAAAAAAAAAAACCCTGTCTCAACAAAAAAAAAAAAAAACCTGTCTCAACTGTTGAATGTACTACAGTACTGTTTATTACTTTGCATTTGTACTGATGATAGAATTTGTATTGTCATTAGAACACGCACTGTACAGTATGGATGAAAAGATTAATTCGGAGTTTAACTGTAGGGCGCCCTCGTGTGTACGTGTACAAAAAAATATCTCTTCGACTGAAGTTATGAAAGCTTCACTCCTTATTATTGGGAATAAAGCCTTGTCCGAACTATCATATTTTTTTTACTAAAACATGATATACCTAAATATGGTCATGATGACATCACATCATGACCATATATAGGCACATCATGACCATATATAGGCACATCATGACTATATATGGGCAGAGCCTTATTCTGTGTCCATACTATCAATAGTGATATAACATTATGACCATTATTCAATCATTCTTTATTCAATAAAATCTTTAAAATTTCACAAAAGCAAGTATACATTCATTCCAGGTCCAAGTTTGGAATTCAAACGAGGCAGGACAAATGAAAAGCAACGAGAACAAAAAGGAAGTTCATCAACTTACTCCAAAAATTTACAATTATCCCATATTTGATTAAACCTGGCATTCCATATTGTATAACTACATGCCAGAGCTGTATTACAGTACATAAAGTTTTTTTCAAATTCTTAAATTGAGATGAGTTTAACTTGGACATTAATTTAAGGCGCATTTCATTTTCCTTTGATATAACCCCCCTGCTTCCTATTTCCAAACATACTAATTTGCATTGGTACCCCTTATCTTGGATATCCCCAAAAAGTTCCACATATTTAGATGATTTTCGTTCATTAGCCTTCAGAATATTGGGTTCCAGTGGTACAGTAAGTTCATATAGTTCGATACATTTATTATTGACAATAGTGATATCGGGTTTTTATTGGTTACAAGAATATTGGGTGGGATAGTTCCCCCTGATATTGAGTATCCAGCTAGATCTGCATGGATATTTTCAAACTTTCTATGGTCAAATCACAAGTATACACTAAACTTGATTATGTAGACAGCTTTATTGATATATTGTATATTTTATGCCATTACATTGCATAATAAAATGAATTAGTCTGATTAATTACAAAATAAAAAACATTGAATTACAGAATAAAAAACATAACAAACTTACACAAACTATTACAATGGACTGAAAAAAGCACTGCAGAATATATTACAAGATCACAAACTACAATGAGAACTACCAATTATATACTGTATAAATCAATTACACAAATCAAGTTTAATTATACAATTCAATATACAGTGTTATACAATCCTGTTACACAATTTAATAGATAGTTATCTCCTTCTATTTAACGAGGTGGAGCCGACTTGAATAAAACAATCTTTCAACGAATGAAAATATTCTTTCCATTACACGAATACAAAACATTCATTATTCGTTTTATAACACCCCTAAAGTAGATCATTGGCATTTGATTTTTTTTTTTAATGAAAAATCTAAATTATTCTTACTTTTCTTCCAGTCAGTAGAAAATAAACAACTAGCAATACAGTAATTGGTAAGCCTAGTAAAAAAAAATTTTAAAAAACAGTCATCCTTCAACAAATGAAAACATTGTATTAGGCATGCAAGGCATGCAATAGGACAGAAGGAATGGAAGGAACAATGCATTGATGGACCTTATTTCACCTTAGTGACGAAATGGTGTAAATAACCAATTTTACGGGATAAGACATCCAATCAAATGACAAGGTCTATATAGGTGTGTTGTAAAACGTAATAAATCGTATAGGTGCAGTCAATCCCATGTTACGTCACCGTATAATTGATATGACTAAAAATGATCCACCCAATGTCGTGATTAGGGTAGGCCTACCTACTCAGCAATTAAATGTTTGAAATTAATTGTTTACGTTTTTGCACAGTACTTGCCTACAATTTCATTTTATTCATAAAATAACACCAATATAGAAAAGAGGAATACAAAAATACAAAACATCAAAGTTCACGTTTAAAATATAAAAAAACAAAAGCAACTATCGCTATCAAAGGTGTCATACTACACGCATCAAGAATTAAAAATGAAACATTATTAATTCGAGGCCCTTTTTAGGTCAGTTATGTAATTCTTTGCAAGTCACAGTCACAGAGATTCCATTTTTCACAAATTATGTCTCTTTTTACCAGCAAAAATAGGCCTACTCATATAGTTTACTTATACTTTCAACAGTTTGTTAATGTGATATTCATCCATTCAAGTTCATGTCTTCAATGCAAAAATGGATTGAAACAAATAGCTTACGCTAGTCAAGGTTTCATTCAATTATTCCAACACAAATACAGTACGAACGAATTTCTGTTAATGATAAGCAATTCATAATAGACAGTATTAGAACAGTAAAAACAACAACAATAACAACAACAATAATAATAAGGATAATAATAATAATTAACTAATAGCGTAAATGACATTACATACAAACGGAAAAAATAGGGTGAGCCAGCTTTAATCACAATGTTGGGATAATAATAGATGTATTTTTCATTTTTTGACAATGATTGGTTAAATTATAGTTTTATATACGGTACTGTAATAAAATTGAAATACAGTATTTGTTGGTACAACGTATTTCTAATCTATATAAAATACCGGCTTTCATTTTAATATTTTTGTCAACGTCGTTAATATGATTATTCCAGTTTAAATTGTTATCAATTTTTACGCCTACAAACATTACCTCTTCGGGTTTTTTAAGTTGCTTATCCTTTACAAATTATTACCAATGCTAGAGACCTGTTTACTACTTATGAAAGATAACATAATCCGTTTTACGTACGTTAATACTTAATTTATTTGCGTTTACACCATTCAATAACATGTTGAAACTTATGGTTACAAAGAGATCAATATGGTTTCCCGAAAAATCATTAAATAAATTGGTATCATCAGCTAATAATCATAAAAGTATCATAATGTGCCAGTAATAAAGTACAAAAATAACATTGTGGGTTCACATGTCAAAAAAATATAAAGCAATGGTAATCGGTTGAGGTTTACTTTCGTTTAGTATGTCCTGATGTTACAAAACGATGGGAAGCGGCCACCATGAAATACACTAAAAGGTGAACAACGTGCATAAGGCGGGGGCCAGGGCTATACTGCCCCCCCCCCCCCGACGGTTTTTACCGGGCTGGCCCGGGTAAGAAGAGAAAAGAAAGAGGAGAGAGGGAGGGAAAGAGAAAGAAGGGGAAAGAAAAAGAAAGGAAAAAGGAAAAGAAAAAGAGAAGAGAAAAATAAAGACAAGAATAAAAAGGAAGATATAATCAACAGATATCACAATACCCCGGCCTGCAACCCCTTCTCCACTTCAAAAAGTGTCCATATCGCATTTGATCTAAGCCGCCAGGTATTCTCCGCAGTGGTGTAACTACCGGGGAAACAAGGGGAAAATATCCATCTATGGAAAATCTTTCCCCATTGAATGCCCTTTTCACCCGGGAAAGTGCCTGAAAATCTCAAATTTTAAATCCAATATTTTGTTGAGGTAGGCCAATTTCCTCTAAAAATTGCACATTTTAGGGAGTTTTGATCAATTCCGACGAAAATAGAAAACAACATTTTTCGCGCGCTACGCGCGCATTTTTTAATGTTAAAGCTTGTGCTTGCTCTCCTTTGCCTTATAAATTATAACTCATAGTCCCAAACTCAAGAAAGAAAATTTAAGGATAGATCGTTTATAAAAGAATGGCCTCAATGTGTAATGATGTTGAAAGAATATGTTTGTAATAAATAAATCCATAAGGAAAATGCTTATATTCAGTTCAAAAAAACGAGTGTGGCCATATATAACATAAGAGCGTTTCTTGTTGAGGTAGGCCAATTTCCTCTAAAAATTGCACATTTTAGGGAGTTTTGATCAATTGCGACGAAATTAGAATTTTAAAAAAACAAAAAAAATTTCGCGCGCTTCGCGCGCATTTTTTATGTTACAGCTTGTGCTTGCTCTCATTTGCCTTCTAAGTTATAACACATAGTCCCAAACTCAAGAAAGAAAAATTAAGATAGATCGTTTTACCTAAAAGAAGGGCCTCAATGTGTAATGATGTTGAAAGAATATGTTTGTAATAAATAAAGCCATAAGGAAAATGCTTATATTCAGTTTAAAAGAACGAGTGTGGCCATATATAACATAAGAGCATTTCTTGTTGAGGTAGGTCAATTTCCTCTAAAAATTGCACATTTAGGGAGTTTTGATCAATTGCGACGAAATTAGAATTAACAACACAAATTTTTTTCGCGCGCTTCGCGCGCATTTCTTAGGCTTAAGGCTTGTGCTTGCCCTCCTTTGCCTTCTAAGTTAATTAAAAAACATAAGTCCCAAAACTTGAGAAAGAAAATTTAAGATAGATCGTTTTACCTAAAAGAAGGGCCTCAATGTGTAATGATGGTGAAAGAATAGGCCTATGATTGTAATAAATAAAACCACGATAAAAATGCTTATATTTAGTTTCAAACACACGTGTGTAATAATAAACTAAGTCCTATGTCGATTGTAGCACAGATGTGTATAAGAGACAGGGGTTGGGTATCACATCAAGTCATAAATTACTAACCGGGAAAATTATTACCTTTGCCGCCACCCCACTGTTACGCGCCTGCTTATAAGTGGGGCCCCCACTTTGAAAAACGTTCCGCTGGCCCTGTCATCAGCTAATAATCATAAAAGTATCATAATGTGATGATATTACAATATCAAGGTCATATACAACTGATGGTGTTTATAAGTTTAAAACTCGCCGAAGATTACAGCGTTGTATGTACAGTAGTCTGAAATCAGCGTATATTGTGAGAAGACTGTTCCTGTTATGCGGGTGCATGATACCAAGGTAATTCAAGCTACAAGCTCAGGGTCCCATAGGCCTACAAGTTTTACAAATATCTTTAAGATTCCAATTTCTAACTCAGTAACGTTCTGAGTTGTTTGTATCAAATCGATATATGTTTTTCTTTTGTTGCGCGCGTGCATGATACTACTGTACAAGATCAGGTATACAATTGCAACTAGTATGGTGTTTATACTCAATACTCGCCGAAGCTTCCGGCTTGGTATGTAGTCTGAAGTCAGCGTATGCTGTGAAACTGATCCTGTTGCGCGCGTGCATGATACTACAAGCTCAAGATCACGTATAAGCTTTACTAATAATTAGGATTATAATTTTTTAAAACTCGGTTCGTTGTATCAAGGCAATTCAACAGAATTCTGTTGAATTACCTTGGTTATATGTAGTCTGAAATCAGCGTATGTTGTCAGATTTTCTTTTCATGTTGCGCGCGTGCATGATAATACAAAGTCAAGGCACATACAATTTTTAGACTCCGACTACAAGCGAAGAACTTAAATAGCAGAAGAATGAGCCGCTCCGCGTATTTGTATTAAAATTGATGGAACATCCGCCCTCCCACGAATGGGTAAAATTTTACCATTTTTACTAAGTGGAGAAACTACAGGAAACAAACGAACCAGAGCATCGCTTTTATTTACTAAATTGTCCCGCTTATAATATCATTAGAAAACAACATTTAACAAACCTTGAAAATGACCTTCTACTCTGTAACGATTATGATACATGGACACTTTCTTCAACAACAAATGACGATATTAAACTACAATATGTTTTAGGAGGAGATTCAGTCTTTATTTGTGATGAATCTACCTCTATTTTTGAAAATTTCTGTAAAAAATACATCATGCTTGGTAGAAAGGTTCGCAACTAAAAAATTCACAACATTAGTGTACTGTAAATGTATTGTTGCTTATCAAATTGTGTAATGTTATTTTATTTATTTTTTTCCCTTCTACCACAAGTGGACTCTACATCGTAGTCTGTATTCCTTAAGTTAAGCAGGCCTACTTTGGTATAATATTTTTGTTGTATGACTTTTTCTTCTTTAGTTTTTGTATTTTTAGGTTAGTTATTTTAAGCATTTACATTACAGTAGACCTGTATTTCTAAGTATGAAATGTGATTTTTTTTTATCTCTTCTAATTTCATGTTTTTTTTTCTACCTTTCTTTAATTTTGTAATATTAATTCTTATACAGTCGATTGTTATTTGTTTTGTTGTTAAATTTTCCCCTTTTTATGTTTGTACGAACGCACCAATTGATATTGAGTGCCACCGATTCAAAGGTGTATGTTCAAATAAAATTTAAAAAAATAGCGCCGCCGCGCAGAGGGGGTAAAATAGCTCCCCCGTGCAACCACAATGCATTTGGAACGGATGTTCCACTATATTGGGAAGCTGCTCTATCTTCTGCTATTTATTATCTTTGCTACAAGCCACAGAATTTTAATATTATAAACACCATAATTGTAGCACTTGCCTATATAACTTTAGTATCATGCACGCGAGCAACAGGTGACAATCGCACAACGCGTTGATTTAAGATTATGTAAAACGCAGTACGGTATTATTGAGAAATATCTCAATTATTAATAATAAACTTGTATAATGACCATCAGCTTGCACTGCAGTAATAATGCACGCGCGTAACAAATAAAAATCTCACAACTTACGTCGATTTAGGACTATATCAAGCAACGCAGTAAGTCACTGAGTTTCAAAATTCTAATTCTCACGCGCGCTACAAGAGACAATCTTCGACTACATACGACGCAGCAAGTTACCGAATTTGAAAATTATAATTTCATAACTATTTGTGAAACTTGAATATTACCTTGACCTTTTAGTATCATCCACGCGCGCAACAAGAGACAATCTCACAACATACGCTGTTTTCGACTAGATACAGCACAGTAGGTCACCAAGTTTGTAAAATTATAATCCAAATTAGTAAAACGTATATGACCTTGACCTTGTCAACATGCACGCGCGGAATAAAAGAAAATCTCACAACATATGTTGATTTGGGACTATAAATACAACGCAGCAAGCCACCGAGTTTTAAATTTATAATCCTAATTATGAGTAAAACTTGCATATGCCCTTAACACTGTACCATGCACGCGAGCAACGGGAGACAATCTCACAGCACACTTAGATTTGGGATTACATACAACCGCCGTAAGCAAACGGGTTTTAAATTTGTAAACACCATATACTAGTACTGTGTGGAATGCCAATTGTATGGTGAACCGAGATGACTGGAGACAACTTTGGTTGACTCGTCTGAGGACAACAAATATAGTAGTATTTGTATTTAACCTTGACCTACATGTGCGCAACAAAAATCAATCTCACAACCACAGATCGCGTATAGGAAGCTTAGGCGAGTTGACCTACTGGTTGACCTACTGAACATGTTCTATGAAGGTAGTAACAAATCTAAATCTGTGGGTAAACTTGTTCTCACAGATGATAGTAAAGCTTTTGATTGTGTAGACCACACCGTTGCTATTTCAAAATTAATATCACTTGGCTGTAGGGCTGAAATCATCCCTTGGATAATCAGCTTTATTTCTAACCGAACACAGAGAGTTCGGTACAAAGGTGTGCTGTCCGACAGGCCTCAGGGAACAAAACTAGGCCCTATTATTTTTCTTGCGTTAATTGATGATGCCCTTAACAATTCAACATGTAACGTTTGGAAATATGTGGATGATTTAAGCATTGGAGAAGTCTGTCACAACAATAGCAACCCAACAATCCATAATGCTGTTCAGGATTTAATTGAATGGTCCGAAACAAACAAAATAAAATTAAACCCATCGAAATGTAAATCCATCAATTTCTGCTTTCAGAAAATTCTCCCTCATCAAGATTTAATTATGATAACTAATACTGCCATAGAAGTTGTACATGAAACTGAACTACTGGGTGTGTGGATTCAAGACGATATGAAATGGGGCAGAAATGTAAAAGAATTAATAGCTAAAGGTAGCAGACGTCTCCATATGTTGTGTAGGCTAAGAAAATTTGGCGTGCCCAAGCAAAACCTAATATCAATATATTGTTGTTACGTACGACCCTCACTTGAATATGCCATCCCTGTATGGCATTCAGGGTTAACGTTGATCAGTCTAGGTCCATAGAGCATGTGCAAAAAAGGGCATGTAAAATTATCTTAGCAAACGATTATATCAATTATGATGAGTCGCTTGTTATGCTAAATATTGAAAAGTTGAGTGAGAGGAGAAATAACATTTGTAAAAGGTTTGCTATTAATAGTTTAAACTCATTTCCTCATTGGTGTGTTGAAAACCAATCCAATCACAGTATGCATCTAAGAAAGATGCGAGTAGTATTAAAGTGCGAGGCAGCGAGGCATGCAAGGCAGCGAGGCAAAACAACGATTCATGCGAGGCATCGTTTTACCATTCCCAAAAGTGAGAGGCATAACAACATTTATGCGAGGCATCGTTTTACATGGAAAATATGCAGAGAACAACGAAAATCCAATATTTAATAATTATGCGTGATAATGTTAAATAATAATGTAAATTTGCTACTTAATTTGGGAATGCCAGGTAGCGCGTTAAATCATGCCTCGCACTTTTCGTGAATGGTAAATCGATGCCTCGCATGAATCGTCATTATGCCTCGCTGCCTTGCATGCCTCGCTGCCTCGCACTTTAGTATTACCCGAAAGGTGCGCAGGTTCCAACTACCAAAATGTAGAGTTAACCGATACGCCAATAGTGCAATCCCATATCTTACTACCATGTTGATGATCACTGAATGTAGGCCTATGCGTATATCTCGACTTTCCATTAGTGATGCCATACGATAACCGGTTCACTGATTCTGCTGCAGATAATTTTTTGAGAGATTCCCTCCTTTCCCCATACAGCATCTTTTCCTTTCCCCCCCCCCCCCCCCCCCCTTATCCCATATTCAATTTACTTTTCTATGATGTGTTTTTAACTCTGTTTGGTTGGTGCCAATGCACATCCATATTCTCGTTTGCATATATATTACCAAGTATCACAGTGGAAATAATTAGATACAATATACCAAAATGATTGTAACAAAATAAAATTAATACTTCTAATAAATATAGAAATAACAGTATTACTGGTAACAATAATACTATAAATAATTCTGATAACAAATTGACACACATATTTGACATCAATTTCCATCTCATTTACATACATCTGGGCGGATATAAAGAGGGAAAACAGTATATACATGTCAACATTATTATCACAAACTGACGACAAAATTGGTACCCAATCTGTAAATAATTGTGATACTAATGATAATAATAAAATGACTATTAGGCATATTTCATTCCTATACACACACCTCCACCAAACATTCATCCAATAGATCACGTCGGGTGGCCGACATTTTATTGACTGTATGGAAGGCCAAGTGTTATAAGTATTTGGAGATTGTTGGTTGACATTACTATGGGATGATCGGGCCCTCGCAGGGTTTGCGGATTGCTGGTTGCTGCTTATAGATTGCAGAGAAGACTGATATAGTTGTCTTAACCAGTCAGGCAATGGGTTAATCTGATTCGATGACTGTTGGTTGCTACTACTATAAGCTGTTTGATTGGCACCAACCACACTTCTTTTAGATCGCCTGGAAGGCAATGGGTTGATCTGGTTTGGTGACTGTTGTTGGTTGCTTCTACTATGAGAAGTTTGATTGGCGCTTAATGACTGCCTTGAATAAGTCCTGGAATAAGTGTTTGGGGAGGATTGCTGGTTGCTACTACTATAAGCTGTTTGATTGGCACCAACCACACTTCTTTTAAATTTCCTGGAAGGCAATGGGTTAATCTGGTTTGGTGACTGTTGTTGGTTGCTTTTACTATGAGAAGTTTGATTGGCGCTTAGTGACTGCCTGGAATAAGTGTTTGGGGAGGATTGCTGGTTGCTATTACTATAGGATGTTTGATTGGCACTGGAGGTTGAATATGTGATCAGGTATTCTGGATATACTTGATCGTTATTAAATAACACAAAGATATTTGGATCACTTGTGTTGTCAACGCAAGAATTATACATTCCTCTTGATTTATTCTCAGGATCTTTATATGGCGGTCTTCGAATGCCTTGTGTTCCACGGGTGTACCTACCGACCATAACTCGTGCTACAAACATCTTTTTTATGTTGTGTTTATCGGCTTCTGCGTAGTTATTAGCATACTTAGCATTTCGTGCGAAATATGCTCCTTCACCATAAAAAGCACCAATTCGCCTCCCACTCAGACGGGAATCGAAATTTTCTCGGCAAATGTCATCAACATTTTCTTCTTCGGTACCATGAAAAAGTTGACGCTCGTCAAAGCAATTCATTTTAATCATTATTTCTTTTCGGCTTCGAGAAACAAAAAAATAATATTGTTATTACTAACCAATTGGGTGCAAACAACTATAACAATGGAATTGTTACATCCCGTCGACTTATATCACTGGAACCACTATCTTTAATTAGTTTTTTACTTGTGAGTAAAAATGTGAAGGACTTGTGAGGGAAAATCGTGACACACTTTGCTAAAAATAAACCACGGAATTAGTATTGGAAAGTGACCATCACATTTCCATCCTATTAATTTTAAATAATTTGTTTTAATCATAATAGCGTTTGATTTAAATATTGATTTCTAACTCTGAAATAAATGTAATTAAAGAGAAAAAAAAATCATTTCAATAAAAGTTATGAGTAACTAAAATAATGTTTGAAAAGTTGAGAAGTTGTTACTAAAACGCAACTATTTTGATTAAAAATATTAAAAAAGAAACCCATTTTACCATCCATATGCAGCCCGGCAATTATAATTTTCAACCCGTTCGAGTTTTATTATATTTCCTTCCGGAAGTGTCTTGTTGAACAGTTTCTGTATATGTTTATATTCATCATTTTTTGACACTTCTACAAGTCGGTGTGACATTTGTTTAATGCTCGTATCCCAGGTATTGCTTGGCCCAACTTGCCTGGATAAAATGTAAACGTAAACTAGTGTATAAACGTGATAAAAATGTAAGATATAAATTGTCTTCAGCAAATTACCGTACTCGCGCGAATAAGCGGCCCGTTTGAATAAGCGCCTCTCTCGAATTACCGCCCCTCCTAACGTGAAAATTTCCTTAAGCACCCCGTTTGAATAAGCGCCCCGTTTGAATAAGCGCCCCTCATAAGATTTTCTTTTTAGCAAGTCAATAATCAAATCAATACTGGGACTGTGGTTGTTGGTATGACTTGAGTTGTAGAGCGGAAACACATTCTTCTTCAGTCAATATCAATTTGAGGATATTTCTCTTGCACATTCCCATCTAGTTTTCAAGAAAAAATACAATGATCCTGCCATCCTGCTAATCTCAATCTTCCGATGGCCAACAAGCTAACCACTAGCATCTGCTATTTTGCTGTTATGTAAATATTCACGCATTCTTGTAGTGAGCCATTTTCTCTGGATGATTATATTTTCTAACCACCATGCGTGATGTCCTTATATAATCTTTTTTCATTCAAAAAGTGCCTCTTGAATTTAAAAATTTTCCATAAAACCCCCTCGATTTTCATCTATTTCCATAAGCGCCCCCTCAATTTCCATTCTGTTTTCATAAGCGCCCCGTTTGAATAAGCGCCCCTCAGAAATTGCCCGGGGGCTTATTCGCGCGAGTACAGTATAGACATAATTAATAATAATCATTATCACAGTTGCCATCAATTTTACTGAACCATATTTCTAATTAGTGTTTGATAATCTGAGATGAAGAATTATTTTGGAAAAGTACAAGTAAACTTATTTTGAAATATTGTTACGACAATCTGAATGAATTTATTCTTTATTACGGTGCACATCCATTTTTATAATAACCAAAATCATCATCATTAACATTGGCCACTACAATCAACAACCATTATCACACCATCATTTTAGTTTCGTGGTCAACGACGTCGTGTCAATGTGGTGGCGTCATTTCATCATTCCATAACAGGTGGAAGGCCACAGCTTTTTCCCCCCACCATAGTTGGGGCTGAGATACTTTTAGTTGCTTGCATGCGCAAATGGCACTCACAGGAAAAAATTTGAATGTTTTTTTTGGTTTTTTTTTAATTATATGTGGGTGCTTGTCCCTCGCCAATTAAATCAAAATAAAGATGCTTACTTGGTACCGTATTTTTTGTATTAAGCGGATCACATCTTGTTATTACCAAAGATTTTTTTTTTCTTCATCTTTTTATTCTTCTTTCTTTGTTAGCACGATATCTCAAAATCGCCACGAGCTACGTACATTTCAGCTTCAACGAACATTTGGCTTGGCCTGGAATAGTCACAATAAGCTTTTTAATGTGCTCAGTCATGCGTGATGCCATCTATGCGCAATTTTGCATTTTTTTACATTATCGATTATATTATCGTAACTAATTTTCGTTTCTAAATCATATTCAGTCGCTCCCTAATATTCAGTGGGAATAAACTTCAGGTCAAGGTTGAATGTCATGTAGCTTAATTTTATGTGCGCGCATCATAACGTGCGCGTACGTGTGCGTCAACATTTAAATATGTTTAAAATAATGCCTATTTTTAACCAGTTATAGCAAAGGTAATAAATAGCAGAAGATAGAAGATAGAGCAGCTTTCCAATAAAGTGGAACATCCGTTCGAAAGGCATTGTGGGTACACGGAGAGCAATTTTACCCCATCCGCGCGGCAGCGCTATATAAGGCCGGTTCTCACTGAACGAGATCAAGCGAATTCCGCGGCGAAATGTCGAAGACGCGACTGGCGTTTCCAATGTGAACATGCAAACGAATTTGAAGTCGAACACGCGAACGCCCAATATTCGAACTTCGACGCGTGCGCGCGGTGGTCGCGGAGGCTTCGCCTGCGAATTCACAAGAGTTGATCCAAGACCAACTTTTTCGGATTCGCGAGCGAATTCGCGGCCGATGGACCAACCACAAGGCTAGATTCAATTTATGTCAAAGGTCAACAATAAAGTCACGAACATTGTCAAAACAATGTACAGATGTGCGAACGATGACCGATGAGTCCGGTTCATGCAAACGCTGTGGAACAGTAGGCTACCCTTGTTTAGGTCTGTGACAAGGGAGCGAAGAAAATATGTGACAATGCGTGGAAAAGGATTTGCAGAGACGAGTTGAGTTATCTCCTCTTTCTACCAGTATTAGGCCTGTCCAGCCTAGGCCTCTGATACCCTGCTACACCAGACCTACCGTATGGTAGGGTAGGCTAGGCCTACTATCTACCCTTAGGAGGCCAAGATCTAGGCCTTGAATAAATATGAACTAAAAAAACTGTTTATATTCACTCTTTTGATTCATTATAGAGTTCTGGGAATGTTAATCCTGAGGTTTTATCTGATTCGTCTCACAGCCCTTTTCCTCCGTCTATCAATGCGATAACAAAATCACTTCTCTGTTGCCACCCGCCATTTCGAGTTTTTGCGCGCGGCCAGCAGTGGGAACAGGCAAGCGAATCATTGGAAGCGAGACATCTTTACCGAAAGTCAACTTTTGTGAACTTTGCGCGATTCGCTTCGCTTGCCGCGTGACGCTCGACGCTTTCGCTTGACAAGTTTAGTGGGAACCAGGGTTGCCAGATAGTCCACAGGCTTCACGGCCAAACACACGCCATCTCAAGGCCAAATTCGGCCAAACTTTTTTTCGATATCGGCCAAAATTCGGCCAGATTTTAATCCGATTAGAAGACAGTGGGTACATTCATTTGAAATACTACAAAAATGACACGAAAATCAGCGGTCATTCGTTTGAAATTGAAGAAATTCAAATGATATACACAAAACAATGTTAAAAATAAATGTTCTTTAGTTGCTGGCATGTAAGGCAATTCAGGGGAAAATAACCTGATGCGTTTCGGCGATCAATTTTTCTTTCTTTTTTTTTTACCACCCCTCCCCTTAAATCCACATCCGCTATTTAAAATCACAATATTAAGATTGATCTAAATTTGATTTAAATGTGTTAAATAATAATGTACATTGTAGTAGATCTATAGCAAAAAATTTAAGGGCCTGTTATTGGCAAATCCGTGGCTCTCTTTAATTAGAATGAATTAGGTTACATAGTTAGGTAACACAAACTGGCGTTAAAACAAACCTATGAAAACTTCAATAGGCCTAAATACTTTTTATCTAAATTTTCTAAATTCGCCTCTGAATGTTATTGTCGCAGTACTTAAAGCAATAAATCAATGTTGCTATCAGAATTATCTTCTTCATTCTCATAATTATACAACCTAACTCCAGAGTAACTTCGAAGAAGTCTCTGCAACACTTGCTTGAAATTGGAGGTGCCATCGGACCCGTATGATCACATCGAGCATATATATGGCGCTCTACATAAACACTGCAGCACATAGGGCTATACAATTCAAGTGGGCAATAATAAATTAATTATTAAAAGTACAGTATTTAATTTATATTCAAAAGAGATGGAACCTCCACTAGTAAGATAGAACATATACAAAGACACACATATGGCTGTCTCTTATACACATCTAGATGTGTATAAGAGACAGCCTTGGTACAACCTAGGCCTAGATACTCCTCAAACACCTGTCTCTTATACACATCTAGATGTGTATAAGAGACAGGTATTTTCTTGAGAGCTGATAGTTTGGCCGTGACTTTTCAAATGTTACGGCCAGGCAAATTTTTATACGGCCAGATTTGAGGAATCTGGCCGTCAAAAAGGCCAAATGGCAACCCTGGTGGGAACCGGCCTATAGTAATAATAAAGGCGCCGCTCTGGTTCGTTTGTTTCCTGTAGTTTCTCCACTTAGTAAAATATTCAAATTTTACCCCATTCGCGGGAGGGCGGATGTTCCATCAATTTTAATGCAAATACGCGGAACAGCTCATTCTTCTGCTATTTAAGTTCTTTGGTTATAGCTCCTTAGAATGAAAGGTGACCTGCAAATTTTATTACATATTCTGAAAGCACATGAGTTGCAGATAGAATTTTATATATTATAATGGCTGATCGGTCATTGTGACATCATCATATTGCCATCTGAATTAAAAAAACTGAATTTTTATTTAAGACGTCAATATTTCTATAATTATTTGAACGTATCTCACTTTTTCTTGATCGATCGTCTCCCACCACTTCGAGTGTATGTTATAGCTGGGCAATTTGTTTCACAATGTTTCTATCAATTTTAACTTTAGTGACGTCATCATGGTCAACATGAATGTTTTTCTAACCTCTTCTCACCACTTTCTTGAAATATTTGAGGATCCGAGAGAAGGCGGCAGACTTGATATTTTCCTGCACAGTTTGAAAATCCTGGCTAGAGTAGTTT